TTCGAACTCTTTATTCAGCAATTTCCCCACAGACTGTTTAATACTATATTTATGGTGCATGAGAAAGCTATTATTTTCTTCCTTCAATGTTGTTTCAGTAAAAAAATTTCTTGTAATTTTGTTGTATCTAATTACATCAACTTTCTGGCAACACTATATTTATACCTTTCGTATCTTCATGTCCTTACCATAAACGTTTATTTTTCCTTTTTGCCCCATGTCGGTGGTTCTAAAGAATGGTTCCTAACATTGTCTTCAGTTGATAATTTTGTTGTCTTGTGTGTTCCAGGTATGAAACCGTTGATATGACAACTAGGTTGCTTATACCAATCATTGTCCTTCAAAATCATAATAGATATTATATCATGGAGAAAAGTCACAATTACAGTATAAATATTGAAGCAATTGAGGCTGAGGTCTGATAATGTCTACATTTCATGTTGATTTTATGGTTTATTCATTATTTAGACAGCAAATAATGTAGGCTTATTATTCACATATGTACTCATCCAAGAAATTCTTGTAGCAATAACACTCTTGTGGCTTATGTTTTGCATTACATAATACACTTCAGGTTAAGAAAATGGTACACCAAGGACAGGAAGTAGTAATTGTTGGGGGTACACATGCATTACATCGCCATGAAAAGTTGGCTATTGCTGTTTCGAAAGCCATGAGAGGACATTCCCTTCAAGAAACCAAGAAGGATGGACGCTTCCATGTTCACACGAAGACATATTTGGATGGTGCTATAGTTAAGGAGGTGCTTTTCAATTCAAAACCATATTGGGAGAATAATGATGTTCTATGGCTAACCACTTATTTGATGTTCATTTTCTTCCACCTGAAACTTCGAGTGATTTGCAATTTTCTTTTTTACTTACATTATTGAACAAGGCATCAATTTCTATGAACAATGTTCAAAACTTTATAATGCTAATTGCAGGAGATGGAAAGATCTGCTGATGTGCTTGCTGCCGGTTTACTTGAGGTGTCCGATCCATCCCTTTCAAGTAAATTTTTCCTTCGCCAGGTTGGTTTTACTGCTTGTATCATGAAATATTCTGAGTTGCTAGGCAACTGTCCATCAGAAAGTTTCTTTCAGGCGTATCTTTATGAGTTTGCGTCACATTGGTGTGTTTGTAATCTTTTTTCTTTCTCCTTAGCCAGTTCTTCTCTTTTCTGAATTTAGTTTATGTTTCCAGAACTGGATGGACGAGACTGATGGTGTAGGTGATTCAATATTAAAGCATAAACCTCTCTGGGCATCCTATAGCTCTCAACGTGGGAATGATAAGAAAAGGAGAACAGAAAAGAAGAAACAAGGGGATCTGTATCGTACTTATGGAACTAGGGTCGTTCCAGTGTGAGTACCCCTATCTATATATCTGATTCCAGAGCTACTTAAACAGTTTTTCCAGATTGAGATATGTACTTGGTCAATGGTAAGGCAGTCAACCCACAATTGAGTGAGCTATCAGGCTCCACACATTCGTTGGCCAACCACTTCATTCGGAAACTCAATTGATAATGACGATGGTTAATTATTGTTATCCTTTTTTAATTCTTGTGAAGATATATCTCGTGGAGTAGATTGTAGATGACCATCAGTCTCCTTATTGTGCAGCTTTGTTCTATCACTTGCTGATGTGGATGAACACCTTATGATGGAGGATGATAGTCTTGTATGGACAAGCAATGATGTAGTTATTGTGCTTCAGCACCAAAGTGAAAAGATACCATTGAGGTAGCTATGCTTACAACTTCTTTGCTTTCATCTTGTACTGGCTTAATTTTTGATATAATTTCCCAGTTTAATCTTTTACATCTACAATTTATTGTCATGAGAATAGTAAGATTCACATATTTTTAGTACGAGTTTGGTTGCCAACAATAATTAAGTTTATCCTGAGGTTACATTTGTGCTACATAATTCACTATTCAATTTTCTTATACACTTAATATGTTAAGGGTGGTACATATCGCTTTATACCGCCATTTGGTAATGAAGTGGTCCGAATTCTTAAGAGGACTTTCTATGCGAGTATGGTGTTTATCCACTATGTCGATCCTTTATCTGTTTCCAATTCAACTTCTACTGAAATTACAGCTTACGTTGTTTATTAGTTCAGTTTGTCACCAGTCATAGCTTTGTTACCCCAAATTCTGTTTTTTATTTATGGTCGTTATTCAGTCTTTACAACACTTTGGCCTACTATCATATTGGATTATACTAGTAAGCATGCTTCTCTTACTTGGATATATAAATATCATGTTCTTTGATATTTCCTTCGTGTAAATTTTGAGCATCCTTCTGGGTTGTCTGTGACAGTTATGTTTCAGAAATAGAGAGAAGACATGCTATCCCATCGCAAGTTCAGCGCCATATATTGGCTGGATTGGCTTCTGTTGTGGGTGGATTAAGTGCACCTTATGAAAAAGCCTCTCACGTGCATGAAAGACCTGTGGTGAATTGGCTTCTGGCTGTTGGTTGCCATCCATTTGGACCATTTTCAAATACTTCCCAAATTAGTCAAATGCTTCGGGATGTTGCTCTGGTAAAATCTCCATTACTGTTTCTTTTCTTCTCATGCACCCTTTTTCCTCCCCCCCCACATCTTTGGTAATGTTGCGTGGATTTGAATCAAGATATCAGATGTTGATATGGTGAAACAATTTTAAACTAAATACTGAATTTTATATTAAATACAGCCTTAACACAATGATTAGTATATTTTGAGTATTTACGTGGTTTGGGTTTTCACTGCCATGTTATTATGCAGAGGAACACAATATATTCGCTTGTTGATTCCGCTCTTCACCGAATTAGAGATACATCAGAGGTGATTTAATAATCATTCAGCCAATTTGCTTTGCTTTAAAGCTCCTACTTACCGATATACTTGCCAGGCCGTCCAAGCCTTCACTGCTGACTATCTAAAAACGCCTCTGGGCGAACCAGTGAAAGGTAAAAAGAACAAGTCAAGTACTGAGCTATGGTTGGAAAAGTTCTACAAGAAAACAACCAACTTGCCAGAGCCATTCCCTCATGAATTAGTCGAACGATTGGAAAAGTACTTGGATGTAAGTGCGTGAGCTTATATGAATAATTTCATCGAGCATCATATTTTTCTTGCTGATCAATTTTTTATCCAATTATTTGTACGTTTTACCTTCAGAGCCTTGAGGAACAGCTTGTAGATCTCTCTTCCTTGCTGTATGATCATCGGTTACAAGAAGCCCACTTAAACAGTTCAGAGATTCTTCAAAGCTCAATCTTCACCCAACAGTAAGCCCCTGTTTGTCACCCATTTTTTTACATTATTTTTCTACAGTAGTCATTTTTAATCACACATTCTTCGTTAAAATAATATTACACACAAACCAAAAACATTTCCTTCTTTTTTAACCTCATATTCTCTATCAATCTATTATTCCATAATACATTTTCAAAATTGAAGGGGCACAAACACACACCGAGTTTGCTTGCCATTTGTGCAGTTTCTTTTTCTCCTTGTAGAATCATTTGATATTAATTTTAATGCCTGCTGTACAGGTATGTAGACCACGTTTTGAGCAGTGAAAGGGAGAAAATGAAATGCTGCAGTATCGAGTATAAATTCCCTGTGCATTCTTCACAGAATTACGTATACGCTGGAATTCTTTTAGCTGGTTTTTTGGTATATTTTGTTGTGATCTTCTTTGCTTCCCCTGTACACTGATTTATTGAACTTTTTCTTTGACTCGCTCAATAGGCTCAATGACATGGTAAAAACATTTGTTGGTATCTCTACGGATTCTTAAAACATTTTAATAGTTAAACACGCAAAATGGAAGTCATACCAGTGTTAAGATTTGGATTCCATCTTAATAAAGTCAACCTTATTAAGAGGATTAGTCCAATATCTTTTTAAGTTGGTCAATATTTCAGTATTTAACCGATGTGAGATTTTTATTCCTTAACATGCACATGCAAGATGATGGCTCGTTTGAGCGGACCAATCTTGCAATTCGTTGTTCATTAATTGAGACTTATGATCAAGATCAAATCGTTCGTTGGAACTTAATGAGATATGATACCATGTTAGGATTTGGAGTCTATCTTAATAAGGTCAATTTTATTAAAATGAGGAGTCCAATATCTTTTTAAGTTGGTCAATATTTTAGTATTTAATAGATGTGAGATTTTTATCCCTTAACAATTAGAACGCTTATAAGTAACAATATTCAAGGTGGGTCAAAAATAGTTGGACCTCAAATTGACGTATGGTGAATTGGTGATGCTCTTCAATGTCACTAAGGGTAATGCTTAAGAATTAATAGAATGTTTGGGAAGTGTTTATAAATAGATAGAAAAGAATGATGATGATAAGTTGGATAATATTGTGAGTTTCTTGAAATATTTGGATAGTTTTTATAATAGTTTATAAACGTGAGCTAAACAAACACTAAGTTTACTAACCATATATAATGCAGAATTGAAAGCATTGAAAAACCTCAGTATACGACTATACTTATAGTTGATATTAAGTGCAAGGGATTGTGAGATGGTGGCGAAAGGTTTAATAATTGGATAAACGTAAAAGAAAAAGGGTTTAATTATAGGGATGTCAACGGGATGAAAAGCACTTCTGGTCTCTCGCCTCACCAAGGATTTTCAGGAGGCAGTGATCATGCTTTTTTATCATCCTACATAACTAGGGTTGTAGACTTTGACGATAATTGGCTTTGTAGTGAACTTTGGGTCCTAAACTAAATTAATAAAGAAAATAAAGCAGCACCCTCGTCATTGTACCACTACATGCAAGGATTTTATTAACCAATGGCACAATCGAATTATGTTTAGGTACATATCCACACATCTGCATAATTTTATGTTTTCTGTCACATCAAATCAAATGATAAATAAAAACAAACATTTATTCCTACAAAAGAATATAGGTTTAATATATATATATATATATATAACATCCTTTGATTAGTGCAGGATACTGTGTTCGTAAATCAATCAAACTTTATATATATTAATTCTTCCCACATCTCAGCTTGTGAACTTATTGGTTGAACCGAACATGTACATGTAATAAACTTTCTGAAACTTTCATGGCCTCAACAATTAACGTAAATTAACACACTAGATTTTGCTGTTACACACAAACAAGAAACCTTATTATTACAGACTCATCCTACTTCAAACTCTGTGAAACTTCCATGACCATAAATTACTACTCTTTTGGCCACTATACATGTTAGTTCCACATTATTTCCAATCAAACACATCCTTATCACACATGACAGCAACAGTTGTAGAGGCTATCGCCTTTAGGAACGTGGCGGGCCATAAGATTCGGAAAGATCCAAATCACGAGGAGGAGCCTTTTGACCATATGTATGATAATGATGACAACTAGTACATCTATTCGGACCATCAGGAACAGCTCGATGAGGATCAACTTCACTAAGAAACCGACGACTTGCTACAGGGAGCATTTGTGCATGGGCTTCATGAATAGTTCCAATGAAAAACAGAGAGGCAAAAATGACAACAATCAAAGTCTGCATGACTACCTGAAGAGTGATTCACAGAGTCAGAAATTAAATTAATTTAACCTGTTCCAAACAAGTAGGAAATATTAACATAGAGAGCATATAAATTAACATAAAGAAAGAAGACTAGTTTTGCTGCATGTCGCAACACTTTACCAGCTTGCTGTTTCTTGTATATAATTAGAATACTGAAAGATAGAGGATATAGGTATCTAGCTTCCTAGGCTCTTGGCTAGCTAGTCAAGAAGTTCAGTTTATATAGTGAAAATTAGTCACCCTTTCGAATTAATTAATATAGAATGATTAAGATTAAGCACTAATTTAGCAATATTAGAGTGGAGCATTAATCACATAGTGATTAGGATTGAGAACTAATTAAGCGCAGCAAGGTGTCATGCTGCACATAGAGGAAGCAGGTTGGAAAGTAGGTGTGTCTGCTCACAGCCCTACGATCAGGGGAGAATTATCAACTTAATTAGTATTGGTTGGTTTCTGCATTTTTCTTTTTTAGAGGGTCCCAAAATACTAAGGGTGCTTTTGATTGCAAGTATAAAATTTGCATGGAAAGAAAATAAATTTTAGGTTATTCAATTGCCTAGAACCTATTTGCATTGAAATTGACAATTAAATGTATTTGATTGATTTAATTTTTAACCTAGAAAATATTATGTTTATCTATTTTTTATTGGTGAGTAGTGGAGAGAGAGTGAATAGATTAGAGAGAGAAAAAGAGAGCGAGTTCCTTGAAAAATAAAATTATATTCCTCCTAAAGAATATATTTTTCTTAATTTTGAGGAAAATATGGTTATATGATCAAAAGTAGAAAAATGTTTTCCATAAAAAAAATGGCAATCAAACAGTTCAAAAGTAAGAATTTGCGTGAAAAAACACGTTTTTTTATGAAAAATATTGACAATCAAACGCATTCTAAATAAAACATATGTATAACATATTATGAGTAGTACTCAACATTGATTAAAGATAAAAATATTAACATATATGGGTTGTTTAATATGATGTCAAAGTTCATTAAATTCAAACGAGTAATTGAATCTATCTAAAACTCCAACGAGTCAACTTATTTTAGGTTATGTATGCTCAAACGAGTTATCATCTTGCGGAAGTATGTAAATGTTAGAATCTCACATCGAAATAAAAATAAAGTATTCAATACATAAGGGTTTGAGCTACTCCTCTAGAAAGATTAATTTTTTAAGATGGAAACTCAATCTCGTGTGCAACTTTCAAAATTGATTCATGACAATAAAATTTGAAGAACAGAGAAATTTGTTTATCGAAATATATTTTATGTGAGCAACAATCGATCTTCGTGCACGATAAAACTACCTAAAAAAAGCTAATATATAAAAAGAAGAAACTAATAAAAATTAATAGGTACGCGAGGACTAAAGGAGTATAATTAGGAAAATTTTTTTTATTTTATTTATTTATTTATTTTTTATCATGTATCTATCATTTTCTTCCTTCCAGACACTCCTCCATTAATGTAGTTTGACGAAGACACGAAAAAAGGTAGCTTCGAGAGTATCATTGGAAACCAACATTAGAAGACCCTGCTAATATTTTTACATCATCTAATTGCATTTTCAACAAGCATCTCTTTTTATTTTGGATTAATTATTTAATGAAAATCTACTCGAAATTGATTATTGGGCCGCATAGAAAGTTTTCTTCAGCCCAATCCCGAGTCTTCTGTCAGAGCCCATTTCTTATTGATTCGACTCTAGTGCGATTTGCAAATACTGCATATTTAGTTCATTTCATATCTAAACGATTAAGCATGATCTATTTCAAAATTAAGATGTAAGGTTTAAAATTTCAAAAATTAGATTTTAATTAAATTTTATTTATGAAAGAATTTATTAAATATATTAAAATCATAATTCCATATAATTTGATCACAAATTATCGAAGTAATGGGTCAAAAATTATTTTTCATTCATAAATAAAAAAATTTACAGTTTACAAATTATTTCACGGTCACAAATCAAAAATTTTATGTCACAATTTATTTATCGATCGCAAATAAAAAATTTATAAATCACAATTTATTTATCGATCACAAATTACAAATTTAATAAATTACAATTTATTTTATGGTCACAAATTATCAAGTTATTAATCCCAAATTAACAGTTTTTTAGGTTACACATTATTTATTGGTCACAATTTATCTATTTCATTTAGTCAAATATTTTATATTAGTCACACATTAATCAATTTATTGGTCGCAATCAACCAAACAACAACATCATCACTTGTGAACACAACCTCCCCTTTGCCTCCAGTATCACCATCGTCAACACCCCCGCGCTAGAACCATCATCATCACCATCTCACGACAACCACCACCACCAATTGTTTTCTGCATCTCAAACAAACCAACACCGACCACCACTCCAACAAGAACCAACAAATAAGGGAAAGAAACAAGATCAAGGTAGAATAAAACACAAAACTAATAGATTTATGTCGCGTGTCATCCATACTCGTACTTTGCACTTCTCGTTATGGGTCGATCTTTGATTGGGATGGATTTGTGCGATTTAAACTCGTACTCTAGACACATGATAAAGTAATTAAGTTGCTTGATCCACGTGTTTTTTTATTAAAGAAAATAATTTAAAATTTTATTGATATGTTTAATAGAGGATATAGAGAAGCAGTAATTTGATACAAACAAGTACAATGAAATTAATCAATTTTCATCCCCTTCATCATCATTAGGCTACACTGATTCCTCAAACTCAGGATCCATAATCACCCTATTCATAACGTGCACTAATACGTTCCCAAATTTCAAATCTGTGAGCTCGGATATAACTCTGTTAACCACCAGCATTCCATCCAAATCATCTAACATGTACAAATTAAATCCCTAATATCCAATCATAAACAATCTCCATTCCATTATGTGAATTGGTTGAATAAATCATTCTAGTACAGTTGAAAATCCGACTGTTAAAGTTAGGATTGCATATGTATCATTCACATTTTCACTAGCAAAACTCTTCGTTGGATTCAATCTAAAATTGCGTTTAAATGCTTTTTCCGAAGGTAAAAGTACAGTGAATGTCAGATCTTTAGGTAACATTTTAATCGCCACGGTGCCGCGCAGTATCTCCGATGGTTATGTGTGATAAACAGAGAAGAGGGAATGGAAGGATATAAGGAGAGACAAGTGAACGGCAGAGAGACAAAAGATAGAAGAAAATGAGTGGGTTGTTGAATGTGTGAGAATTTGGATGTGACCCGAATTTCTTGTCGAAATGATTGAAGAGTTCTAATTGAAGTGTACACCGGCTGCCATAATTGCCAAATTCTAGTTAAAGTTATAATTGGAAGCTCTATTGGGAGTTGAAATTTGTGTTGGACTTGAAGAGTTCAAAACAAGGTAACTTTTGACATTTTATTTCATCTACAACTCTACTTCTAGGAATTAGATTGTTCCCTATAAATACTAGACTATTTTTCTAGATTCGTGAAGCATATATTGTTAATTGTAATTTCTCTTCATATTGTTATTGAATAAAATATCGGTTCCTCTGCTTATCTCTCTTCTTTTTCTTTACTTTAATCTTATTTCTATCATTGTGATCATACATATTTCATATTGTGTCATTAATCTCAATTCTTGCAACACCTTTGGGATCAACAAATGGTATCAGAGCAATTCTAGTAACTTACTTGTTCCCAACAAGTGGTATCAGAGCTAGGCTGCACGTTCTTCATAATTTGATTGGGATTATTTATTTATTTATTATTATTATTATTTTGTAGATAGCCACATTGAAATATGATATTTTGCTGCTGGATCGCAATATGAGATTTTCGCTGTGGTAAGTAAAGATGAGTTCTATTTTGGCACAAATGAATTTAGACGATGCTTTTGTTGAATTTTGATAAGATGCCAGCAAATTGGACAAGGAAGGAGAAACAATGGAAGGACAGGAAGGCTCTATCATAGATTCATCTTCATCTATCCAATAATATTCTACAAGACGTATTGAAGGAGAAAATGATGACTTCTTCGTGGTTAAAGTTGGAGTAGTTGTGCATGACTAAAAGTCTTACGATCAAACTAAATCTAAAGCAAATGATGTATTCCCACCCCATGGCGGAAGGAGGATTGTTGGAGGACCACCTCACCGTGTTCAAGGAAATTGTCACAGATTTTGAAACATTGGATGTTAAGTATGATGTGGAGGATCTGGCATTGATCTTGTTGTGTTCGCTGCTTGCTTCTTATTTGTCGTTTCGGGACAATCATGTACAGTCGTGACACACTTACCATTGAAGACGCTTATGATACTTGATAAGTATATTTTTGCACACTTATTTAGATCACAAACATGACTTAATTACAAGTAAAATGTTTAAATTGTGACTTAATCTCGTTGAATTCATGTAATGTAGGTGTTTCTATTAAAATAGTGGAATTCAAGAGAAAAAAACAGAAAAATGACAAATGGAGCAAAGTGATAGTTCAGGAACCAAAGTGAAATTATCCAAAAGATGGTCCGAAGGACAAATCAAGGAAGTGATTGAGCTAAGTACCAATTTGGTGATATTATGAGATGATGGAAATAAAAGAAACAAGCAAAAAGGACCAAAACGAATCAAACTGAAATTTCGGGGACCAAGTTACAAATAATTCATAGATGAGACGGGCAATGGAATGAAGATTCAATAGTGTTAGAGGTCAATCGGATGAGGAAATGAGTCAAAGAGGTTAAATATGGTCGAAGTATTATTAAGTATCAACTTTCAGGCGAAAAAACTATGCTTGTGATTTTTAGTCTCTACTTGAGATCTATTTTTGGCATAATAAACATCAGAATTTGAGAAAGTCTATTTCTATCAAAAGTGTATATCTTTGAGCTTTCTTCCCAATTCACTTTGAATCACTTCAATCGAAGATCAGAAGAGAAAGTTATGACCAAAATACTAAAAACTGTTCGGCGGAAAGAATGACATAACCATGCAGTCGCATGGTAGAAACTCCTATGCGGTCGCATAGAGGCATCCCGAGAAATTATTCTCAAATCTTTTTTACTCTATGCTATCGCATAGAAATGTACTATGCGGATCGGAGATCGAATCTGCAGTTTTCTTATTTCGCCGAAACTCTTATGGAAATAAGATTTTTAGGGTCCTATATAAACAAAAATTCGACCAGAACAAAGGGGACGCCATTTTTGGAAGAAAAA